ATTTCTTTCTGCTCAGAAATAAATTAAAAGCAATAGATTTGAGAGGGAATGTAAGCAATAACAGGCTTGAATTTCAGAGGAAGGAAATCTATTAACTGTGTTCAAAGAGAGAAGGTATTTAATTGGTGAATAACACAAGTCTGCAATATGGGCTGTTAACCCCCTGGGAGCCAAAGTGTCACTTCCATCAAAGTTCTGCTAAAAATTCACCTCGAGACCAGGTCTGCCACCACAGATAATCTCATCCCTCCTCACCAGGAGGTTTCTTCAAATTTATTAAAAATATTCCACAGCCTGTCATACCTAGATCATGGCATGCCTACAACTTGGAAAAACAGGCCATGCTGGATGTAAACAATGCAGAAGAAAAGTCAAAGCAAAAAACCAGGCAATTTTCCCAAGAAATACTGCAAAAACACACTTCAAGCACATGAAACTATTGCATAAATAACTAAACTTCAGCAACATTCCATAACAATTACACCTAAAGAAACCTGACAAGCTTTTTCCTCTTAGAGTGTAATTTTGGAGAGTAGTGTGAGAAGCCAAATCCCATTAAAAATGAAGGGGCATTCCCCTTCCCATTCTTACCTTAAATGTGCAGATTTAAGAATTGTACAGTATGTGTAAGATACTGTGATTATGAGCAGGAAATTTCCAAACCTCTTGTGAGATTTAAAACCATTTTATGATGTCTCTGATACAAACCCAGGAGTTTCTAGAACTGGAAAATATTTACAGTTCAAGTTCATCTTTGATAAATATAACAACTTCAGGCTATCAGATTTTATTATGCTGTCTTACAGCTATTTCAGAGTTTAAGAGAAAGTCTTGATCTCATTTTTCTCCTGAAGAGCAGGAAAATGTCATAAATCAGGAAAAGCACAGTACCACCATGACACTCATTCATTATCTTTAAGTCTCCTGACAGTGAATATACTGGGGCAGAAAAAGAGGAAAAGAGTGCTTTGCCATCTGTTAAAAGACTGAATTCAAAATTAATATTCCTCTAGGAACTGTGAAGCAGAAGCTGGAAGTGCAAAGTCTTGAGGAATGGGATTCTGTGCTGTGGTGCTGACCAGCATGAGCTCTATCTGCTGGCAGCATCCTGTAGTGCACAGGCTAAAAATTACTATTTCTGTTCAGCGTGATGTTCACATGCACAAAGATCAGAAGCATCTCAGTCTTCAACTGCAAACTCAAGGATTGGGGAAATGAGGGGATGGAACCACCACGAATTTTATGCCAACGCATTCAAACCATGCTTACTAAAATCATATTATCCAAGCCCCAAAGGCTGGAGTAGCTGCTGCTCAGGAGGAGTCAGGGTTTGCTGCAACCCTATGGAGTCTGAGCAGACAAGAATGGGAAGAAGAGTTTGAGGTTTCAGATGAAAACTAGTTAGGCAAAATTCAGTAGCCTAAAATCAAAATTTGTCAATGACTCTCATTGACAAATGCCTTCAAGCAAGGTTTAAAGAGAAATACTTAATCTCACTTGATGCACAAATGTAATACAAAATTAAACTGTGGTACAAATCTGAATACACCACTAGCAAACCAGGTCCTTATTTTCACCAGAAAAACTTGCAAATTTTTTTAACTACAAAATCTGAAGTCCAAGATAACCCATCCAAAGAAGTGGAAGGAGATTCCACTACATTATTCAGTTCAGCTCAAAAAAGGAAACATACTTTATGCCCTTATTTAATGCTAGGAAGACAAGCTTTCCTCACACCTGCAAATTGACATCACTGGAGGTGAAAATAAAGTATATTAGCTAAACAGCCAATACACTGAGACAATTTCTCACCAAGAAATGATTACACAATCTACTTTTCACATCATTTGGGCAGTATTATAACAAAATTCCAGGCTCCAAGTTTAAGTTGTATCTCCATATACTTTATGGAAGCATTTCTCATTTTGTTTTCAGTGCTGCATTCCAAATATTCAAATTGATGTGCAATTTGTTCCGCTGTAACAATCACAACTCAGAGGCATCTCCTCATATGGAAACGCTTTGCACAACAGCAGTTAATTCTTGAAATGCATTCCATCAAAAAAAAAAAAAAGTGGACTTTGCCTTTTTTAATTATGCCTTAAAAGGAATTTTTATTTATGTCACTGGAAGATAGTGTCTGCAGCCACATCTGTTGGCAGTGGTGCAAAACCAGCCCTGTGCCATTGCACCCAACAGCTGGAACAGCTGAAGGGCCAGGGTCACTCCGGGTTTGCAGATGCAGATAACATGTGGATACTGGAATTTGCTTTTGGGAACGTGATTTATCAGGAGGAGCACAAGAAAGCCGATAGTGCCCCAAAGAATTGAAGAAGCTGGAAAACAGTAACTCAGCCAGGAATCCAGCTCCACATCCAGGTGTTCCTTGGAATGCGACCAGATTGCTTGTGGAGAAAGTGAAAATACGCAGATACAACATGTGAGCAGTAAAGAAAAACCCTAAGCAAAAGAGTTTTATTGCAAGATTGAGACTGGACCCTCTAAAAGCAAAGCAGCCCCTCAGATGTCATCCGTGACCTGCAGAGCCACAGAGCAAGTCAAGGGGCTTAATGCTGACAGGAACAAAACTGATCTCCTGCCTTTTCCAAGGAAGTCCTCACTCGCCTCACCTGGGACAAGAAGAATCCATTCTTGAGCCCTGTCCCAGCCCTAACTCTGAAAGGTGATATTTATTGCACAAAGGGGGTTCCCAGCACATAGATCATAACTCCACTGCCTCTGCCCTGTCCTACACCCCTAAATACGAGCAGACATCTGTGCTGCTCCAACCCCCAGGGGAATGTTTGTCTAGGAGAGGATTTACCACTTCTGACAGCAACTCAAGTCCTCCTTTAGTTCCCATTTCTGCACTGTCCCACGACTACCCCCTGATTTCTGTGAATCCCAATGCTAGATAACCACACATCACACTTGCATTGTCTTACACATCCCAGTTTTGGGCCAGAGAGTTCACTAAAAAGTGTTAAAAATGTGTTTTTTATCATGAGACATGGTTAATTCCTCATTTAAAGGCCCACATATGCTCTACAATGAAAATGGCATATCTGCTCTCTGGTCATTCCAGAGTTCTCTGAAGTTCTATTGGAGGATCATCAAGGGCTAATTGTATGGAAAAGCAGCTGATAGAAATATCATTCTCTAATCTGTTCTACATTAAATCTCCTCAGGGGGCTTGGAAGCAGAACACCAACATCCACACAGATCCCTCCCATTTCCAGCTAGGAGCAAATGCTCAAGTTAGCAACAGAACAAAAACAATTATGAAGAATATCCTGTATAGCCTCAGCCACATAAGATCTCAATCAAAACAACAGCAAAGAACACACTCAGCGTGGTGTGTTCCAAGGGATACATTTGCTGATTTCATTGCCTGCAGATGACCAAAGTCAAACCAGAATTGTCAGAAAAAGGTGATTCAAGAAAAAAAAAATCCTCCTGGACATGTCACTGTTTCTTGGTGAAAGCTGGCAGACTCACTCTGAAGGGTGGTGACGTCTTGCATTTGTGCTTACACCAAAGGTAAAGTCCCTAAACAGCAAAAAAGTTTGGAGCAATACTTATACTTGCCCCATCTTGGGAAAAGCAGGAAGAAAGGCAGTAATTTCAGGAATATGAGCCTTGGGAAAAGCACTCCAGGCTCTGGCAGAGGTTTGGGTGGCTGCTCCTGACTGCTGCTGGCTGACAGTGCACTGCTGCTGCCAGTGACTCCAGCCCAGCAGCAACATCCTCACACAGCATCACTTCCAGAAGGGAATGCTTCCTCTGCTCTTTCAGTGACACTGTCTTTAAAAAAGTAAGAGCAAACAGAAATTGTTTGGAGGCAATTCACAGCTGGCACCTCCAGCTTCAAAAGTGCAGAATCATAGTTATTACTGATGTCAAATGCAAACAGATTAATGTAGGCCAATGCTATTCCTCCTCCTGATAGAGTAATTGCTCAGAAAGAGAGCACAAAGCATGCCTGAAAGGAACACAGAGCACTTTTAACAAAGGAAAATGTTTTACCACAGAATGAGCTTAACTTCTCTAAGCACTGTGATGGATACTTCGTGCTCCAGCAAAATGGAGTAATACAAACCACCTTAAAAGCACTTCTGGTAAATGCTGTGTAAATATGTATTGCATAGAAACCAGTGAGCAAGAGGCTGGAAATCTCAATTTTCACACAGAATAAAGAACTAAACTGAAAACAAATACAAGACATTAATTATGAAAGAGTAGGATGAAGTTGATGAAGATAAAACCCAGGAAGACAAGAGAGGTTAGAAATTAGGCTATACACAGATATTTGAACAGGCTGTTGTCAGGTTGCTTTGGGAGGGGGGCACAACACTCCTTAAAACACAAGACGAGAAAGATACACAAGGAAAAGTAAAGGTACACAGGAAACAGTTTCCATCAACATTCAATTTCAACACGCAAAAACTTTAACCGCAGATTTCGTGCATGCGGCCAGCTACTCTCCTCTAGGACCCGACAGAGAACTACCTTTGGATAAAACAAAGGGCATTTGTTGCTCGTGCCGTGCAGAACCCCTCGGAGAAAGTTGCCCGGCGCCGCGGCAGCCGCACACGTGCGGCCCGAGCTCTTTGTGCGCTCCCGGCCGCGGGAGGACGGATGGATGGATGGATGGATGGATGGATGGATGGATGGATGGATGCTCCCCGCTCCCTGCCCTTCCCGCACGGATTCCCAGCTGGCACCCCGATCTTCGTCCGGCTGCTCTCCCCAGGTTGATAGCGAAGACAGAAGCAGCCCCGGAGCTCTCACCTCCCGCGGCAAAGCCCAGCCCAGCCCTCCCTGCCCGGAGCCCCGCCAGCCCATCCAGGGCAACTCCGCGGGCCGGGCCGGGCGCTGGGGATGCGCGGACTTACGGCGCACCCCCCCCAAACTTTCCCCGCCGCCCCGGGGAGCCGAGGGGAGCCGGACCCTCCCCGCAGGGCCACAGGCAGCGTGTCCCGGCCGAGCCCCGCACTCACATGCCCCGCTGCAGCCGCGGCTCCGCGGCCAGAGCGCAGCCCAGCAGCACGGCCAGCAGCGCCGGCCCGGCTCGCATGGCGCTGCCGGGGAGGGAGGATGGAGCGCCGGCTGCAGCAGCACCCACACCTCAGCAGCAGCAGCAGGAGCAGCAGCCCCGGCCCCCAAATCATTTAAAGCGGCGGCACAGCCGCGCCACGGGCGGAGCGGCCCCGGCCCGGCCCCATCCCCGCCCCGCCGGGCCCGCCCCGCCCCGCAGCACGGAGCTCGGAGCTGTGTGCGGTGCCCGCCCCGCGGCTCGGAGCTCGGAGCTCGGAGCTGTGTGCGGTGCCCGCCCCGCGGCTCGGAGCTCCGTGCGGTGCCGTGTCCCGGGAGCTCCCCGCGGGAACGCTGCTCTGCTCCTCCTCCTGCAAAGGGAGCTCCCCCTGCTCCGCATCCCCCGCTCCGGGAGCAGACAGGCAGGGGCTGTTCCGCGTGTCCGTACGCAGGGATGTGCAGCTCCCCGGGATGCCGAGAGCGTTCTGCTGCGCTGACAGACGCGGATCTTGGCTGCCCTTTATTTCCTCTGGTCCTTCTTTGTTCTGTACAGGATGCCCAGAGCAATCGTAGCTGAGCGCTTCCGAGAGGTAATCGTGAAAATAAACGCGTTTAACATCTTGAGGGAGGGATAACAGCGCTACTGCTGAGAGTTAGTGACAGCAAGAGCATAAAACTGGGAACTCAGGAGTGGTTTTTCAATCCCAGGGCTGCCTACCATCCTCTCATCTTTATGATCTCTCCAGACCTTTACTGCTGTCAAAACACAACTCTTTCCCCTTTACTGCTGAGAGAAGGGAGACCAACTGACCTGGAAAGGGAACTGTGCATAGTAGCAAATAAAAAATCGAGAAAAACACACCTTAAGCATTTTATGATCTAATGCAGGTCTCCGGGTGCATTACAGCACGGTTTCCCCCTCTCCAGAGAGCTGTGACTAACCAGGCACTGGGCTGTGAACAGCAGATGGGCCCTGAGCCAGCCAGAGCTAAAATCCATGATTCCTTTCCACTCCGATGGAATGGCCTGGTGTCCACTTGCTCTTAGGGAGCTCCTGCACAAATTTGTGACAGACACAGCTGGGTGGGTGCACCAGCATCCTCACCAGCCAGGAGCCAGTCTCTGTTTCACAGAGCATTCATTTGTCAGCCCTGTAACACGATACACCCACTTCTCATTTTCCACACACTTTACAAGTGGTTTCCTGTATGGTTTTTATTTTCCAGGGCCTTTGTGAAGTAGGTAAACATTTACCATTCATAACAAGAAAACTGGTTTTATATTGTTCATTGCTTTGAAGCTTGCATGGACATGATCCCTTGGAGATTTTATCAACTGATTTCTTTTTCATGGGGAAGAAAGCACACAGCTGTTATCTGGCCTTAGAGCAGAATAATTGTACCCTGAAATTTCCAATGAATGGCTGTGTCTTTCTTGTGTCTGGAGTAGTTTTAACTCCACAGGACCTTGTGTTGAGCTGATCTCATTACCTCCTGCAGAGCACATAGTTTTTAATAATTTTATTTCTTAAACCCCAGAAAATCTTTCTTCATAAAATAATAGACGTTCATTATGTCAAGGCTGAGTGTTCATTATGTCCTGTGATGTCATCCCAACCTGGATTATTTTCAGGATCACATCATGGCAAAATAGCAAAAGATCTCATTCCTCAGTTCTTGGGGATTTTTCCAGGAGAGGTAAATTAGTCTTAAAAACTATTTTAATCTTTTCCATCTTAAGGAACTTAAACTATTCAACGCTGTTCCTCAAAGCTGTATGTGATCATTACAAATTATACACAACATTTATTATACCCAGTTGTTAAGAGTAATGGACCAGCAACATGCAGACTGGGAGGTACTGAAATGCAGAGGCCACTTTTAGTAGATGAGACCTTTGCCTGGGGGCCACACAGCACAATGCAGCTGCAGCCAAACTCTGGAGTAAAACATCCCTGCTTTCTGGGCAGGAGGCTTTATCTGCTGTGACCTTGACATTGTCCTGAACTCCAAAGCCAGCCCAGTCAGTGCAATGTGTTCTTCTTACAAATCCAATGTTTTCTCCTCTGCTGTGTTTTATTTGAGAATATCCTGCAGAGCTGTTGACTTTAATGGGATGATTCCCATGGGTAGAGTTGCAGCATTGGTGGAAGGAGTTTCAAAGCCTCCTGAGAGAATTGATCTGCTGGGATCCCAGTCAGTTGAACCTTCAGACCTGACACAGAGGTAGAAGCTGACTCATTTGTTCCAGTTCTTACACTGGGCTCTGGTGAAAAGGGCACTGGGAGCAGCATTATTGACTTCTTTACATTCCACATCCTTGCTATGACCAACCAGGCACCTTCCTGCTGTCCTGAAATTTATTTGCTGTAAGTTCTGCATCTTTGACCTCAGCATCTACAAACAGCACCCTGGCCACTACCAAAGCAGTCACTGGACATGCTGTCCAGAGCTCCCTTCCTGACTGGGAAAAGGAGGAAATTAAATTGCACCTTGCTCAGCTAAACCAGCTTTTGAACAGAGCAGGTAAAGTGCCAATTCCCCTTGGTAGCTTTGTGCAGTTATAATGGATGCAATTGCCTACAGTACAAGTGGTTAGGGGAAAAAAAAAACCAGCTTGTGCCCTCCATATAGTACTGAAGGACTTTCTAAGGGATGGAAATTGCATTATTCTCCTCTCCTGTTGATCAGAAAATTGTTCTGTCAGATTCCAGTGCAATCCAAATTCAGCACATTATTTACAACACTGTCCAGATCAGGAATTCTGTAAAAGATTTGCCATCTCTCACAATGTTCCATCCCAATTAAAGCATATTTTCCCCTTCATTAGCATTTTAATTTTGATGTGTAATTTCCTACAAACAGGCTGTGACAGTTGTTGTGTATCCCCAAGCATGAACGAGTGTTGCCCAAAACTTTGAGTCAGTGTCACGCCATCCTGTTCTATTTTCATTTTTCTGCCTAATTCTCAGTATCTCCATTGCCAGTCTTTTTAAATTGTAGCTAGTTACAGGATTTAACAGTCCAATCTGATATAAAGAAATTTTCGTGCAGAGATTGTAATTAGGAAGGCTGAGCTCTGTTCTGTTATTAGCAGAATTGTGATTTTTGGAGTGGTGGGTTAATTGCTAATAACCATATGCAATGCTTCTGTCAAGATGTTTCCCATTACAGTAATTAACTTAGCAGCTGGGGTAACAGACATTTACCATTTGTCTTCACAGTATCCCTGATTTAGGATTGTTCCAAAACCCTTTTTGGACTCTGTTAGTTCAATTCCCAGGTGTAAGATGAAAAAGAGGGGAAGCTGAGGAGGGGAGATCTGGGAAGAACAACTTGCAGGGATAGTACCTGTTTCAGATTTAACATGTCTGTCAGGGTATCCTCAGGAATTCTGGATTTTTTTCTTCACTAATCTCAGCCTTGGACCATCATTTTCATCAGCACCAACTGGAGAGCATGGCAGAGCAGCCTAAAACAGAGAATGTTTTCAGAAACGATTACTCAGCTGCTCATATTAATCTGATCATTATTGAGGATTTATTAAATGAAAAGTGCAGAATTTTTCATTGCCTATTCATATCCTTAAACCTCAAAATCCCTATGGTAGGGGATTTTTTTCTTCATGTTTTGTAGTCAACTATAGAGATATAAACATTTTTTGTTAATTACTTCCTTTCTGTGCTGTCTCACTGGAGCTCCTTCCTCCACAGAGCTGTGCCAGAATTACAGTAATGTTATTAAGGATATGGCCAACCTGAAAATTAAGAAGAAAATAAAGTTGTTCTCTGAAGCCAGATCACATGACAGAGCAGTAGCAGTTTCGTTGATTTAATTCATCAACAGAATATATTGAAGTAATTCATTTTGTTTACGAGATAATTTTAAAGACTTTTAAAACCATGATGCCAGATTGATCCTTTTTTTTTTTTTTAAAGTTTGTTCTGGCCAGAGCAAATTCTGTACAATGCTACATTAAAGAAGGTTTGTTAATAACCTTTAAGATGTAAAGCAGCATGCCAAGGGCATGGGAAGCTTTCTCTGTTGCAAGGAACTGGCTTTGCTCCACTACAAGGAATTGGGGAATGCTAATTTACAGCAACTGAGGACCTAGCCCGTGTTGTTAATCATAATTATGGACTTATTTTGGGAGGTGCATTTTCTAAACTAGTTGGGGGAGACAAGAAAATTAAGTTAAAATTATTTTCTTCCACAGGAGGTAAAAGCAGTACATAAATAAATACTTGGTGTTGCAGTAGATCTTTAAAACCTACAATGGCTTCTGGCACTGCAGAGTCCTGTGATATTTTTTCCTCCAGCACATAATAGTAAGTTTCTGATAATAGTGCTCACAGACAGCTTTGATTATAACCACTTGTCAGGGAATGGATAACTAGGAAAATAACACCATATTCAACTGTAAAAAATGCTGCCTGGAGTACATTAACAGAGTGATAATTTCTGCTAATAGCAGCCTCCGAACCCCATCCATTAGCTTTGGATTGAAATTCCTGCTCCATTTCTGTCCTTCCGAGCACTCCTGCCCTCTGACCCTCTCTCCCTTTCCTTGGGAGCAGCAGAGCCATCCCCAGGCTCCAAGAGCAAGGACAGATTCTGTGTCTGAGCAGTCTGCTGGGCACTGGGGACAGGGACACTGCTCGTGGGCAGTGCCAGCCCCGGGCATGGTGAGGGTGTTTGTTCAGTAGGTTTGCATTCTGGGGGAATTTTCTGCCACCTCCTCCCTGCCAACTCGAGTCACCAGCTGCACCACTCTCCCAGTGTCACAGGAGTTTGGGTTTTAATTTGTGTTCCTTAGGAGGACAGGGCAAGAGGGGTTGGAAGGGAGGGAAAATGGAAAAGGTCTGAACCATTGAACCTCAGAGCAGTAGAATCAGAGAATCACAGAGTTGTTAAGGCTGGAAAAGACTTCCAGGACCACCAAAATCCACGGTCAGGCACCACTGCATTCACCACTGAGCCATGTGCTCAAGTGCCACATCCCCAGGCTTTCGGAGCACTTCAGGGACAATGACCCCACCACTGCCCTGGGAGGTTTGTTCCAATGCTTACAACCTTTTCCATGAAGAAATTTTCCCTAATATCAACTGTGAACCTCCCCTGGCAGAACTTAGGACCTTTTCCT